CGCGGCCCGCGCCGCCGTCTGCCCCGCCCCACCCCGCCCCGAGCCGAGCCGAGCCAGGGGGGCTGCAAGACCCCGGCCGGGCGGGAGGGAGGGGAGGGGAAGCCACAGCCTCGCCCCCCGGCGCTCACCTCACCTCACCTCACCTCACCTCGGCTCCGCGCGCCCTCGCCCCAGGGAGCGTCTGCGGCCGGCAGCTTTATAGCCCCGCGCCCCTTGCTGGCAAGCGCCTAATAATAGGCAGTGACAGGTCGCCGGGCTGCGGGAGCGCCCCCGGGACCGGCCGCTCCTCTGCGCTGGGTGCGGGCTGCGGCGACCAGTCCGCGTGGCGGGTCCCCCCGGAGCTGGGGGCTGCTCCTCAGGCCTGCTTTGTACATGCCCGGCGCACGGCCGCGCCCTGAGGACAGGGCCTTGGCCCTCCCGCCGTGACCTTCTCTCAGGGACACTCACAAGCAGGGGCCTGGGGTGTTTTAACCCAGAGACACAGAGCTCTGCCCCAGCACCTCCTGCAAGGCCGGCCCATTACCAAACATGGGAACTCAAGGTATCTGTAAACCATGACTTGAAGGGGCTTCCTAAACCAGTGAGTCCAGTCCCTTGCATTTGCAGGCAATTGTTGACCAAAACAATCCCCCAAATGACCACTGCAAATCGTCACCTGCAACTACAAGGAAGAATATCCAGAACACCCTATGATATACCATAGCAGAAACGCCATGTCCTACCATTCCAACATCAGAAAAGAAGCTGGTTAACGCATATTCACTGGAAAAATATGCTTGCCTTTATTTCTGATCTTTCTTTCCTTTCTTCTTCCCTTTGTACAGTTTCTGTTTTCCCCCACCCCCTTTTTTGGATTTTCTTTCTTGCAGCAATTTTTAATTTTCTCTTTAGGACTACACTCCTCCACCCCACCTCCATCTCCTATGAAGTGTCATTATTAGCCTTAAAGTTGAAATGAACAGAAACTAGAAACATTCCCCTTTTGAGATTCAGGCAGACTTCATGACAGTGCACTACATGCCACGTGCACTCAGAAGGCTGTCAGCAGCCTTGAAGGCTAAAACTCTTTTTTTTAAAAACGAATCTTTACATTTTGCCCAATACCACTTATGTTAATACAGCACCAAAGATCCCCACTCATAAATTGGAACTGTATTGTAGGAACTGAAAAAAAACAACAAAAAACTGTCAGGGGCCTTATAGGCTCATAAAAGCCTATTATACGAAGACATGAAAGTACATGATTCAGGGGTGTATTTGGTAGCGGTGTTGGTCTGAGACAAAAAGAAATGCAAAACTCTAGAATTCTTGGTTCAAAGATGCTACTTGTTATTAGACCAACTAAGAAATCACAAAAAAAAAAATATATATATATATATCTTTCTTTGCAAGCTTTCCAGCACATGCACCCTTCTTCAGACTGAGGACAAATCCAAGACTGTAAAAATCCTTTTAGGCAGAAAATAAACTTCATTTTGCACAGGGGAATTTTTTGTCCTCAGCCTGAAGGGCGTGTGCCCCTGAAAGCTTGCAAAGATTTTTTTTGCAATTTCTTAGTTGGTCTAATAAAAATAGCGTCTCTGAACCAAGAGTTCTAGAGTTTTGCATTTCTTGAAAGTACATGAGACACTTTGTATGTCAACAGCCTAACCACTGCCTATGTTAGTCAGACTACTTAAATTCATCTTGTGGGGCATAACTTGCCTGTGGGCCATATGTTTGATATCCCCCGCCTAGAGTAGTGCTTGCTAGTTTTTGGTTGAGAAAGGAATAAGTGTTTCAACTTCAGGACTAGAAATACTGATTTGTTGTTTGCCTATATCATACTGAAAATTGTGCACTGTTTAACAAGTCGAAACTTAAACAAGCAGGTCCATAAAATCAATTTAAAACAGAGGACGTTCCCAGCAGCTTCCACTTCCTTGTTTTTAATGATTATATTCAAAACATACTTGTATACCTACTAGATTAATTTGGATTGATATTGGCTGCAAATAAAATGTGTTTGCATTAAATTAGTAGGAACAAGAGGGAACACAATTCAAGTTTGGGCATGTTAGAGAAGCATTAGGCTTACCCAACTATGGTTAAGTTGTTAAAAGTCTTTATGTGGGAATGCAGAAGAATGGTGAATGTTACTTCTCTCTCCAGGTCCACAGCACCAGAATAAGGTATTGTGTATAACTCTAATAGAAAAGTAGAAGTAAAAGCCATTTTTCCAGAATAAAAGTTACCCCCAAGTTACAAGTATGGCATTTGTTATATTTGAACTTATTCATTATAAGTCATCTAACCGGAATTTTCTAATTATTTAACACTGAATACAATGAGATGGTTGTGCAAATAAAACAAATGTTGGTTTATTAAATAAGTGCACTGTACAACTCAAAGTAATTTAAAATTATTTTTCTTCTACAATAATTTATTTGAATTACTTTGATACATACAACTGCAGTTCATTTAGGCAATATAAAGTTCACAAATATGCTTACAATTAGCCAACTTGAGTTGATACATGTTTAGTCTGAAAGACACAAAAACTACAACCTACAAAAGTGAAGTAATCATTAAGTGATATTATTGTTACAACTAAATGATAACTAATAAATGTTTACATTTAAATCCTTGTATCTTCCAGTGTTTCTGACTGAACTAGTAGTACATTAGGGTAGAAGAAGATAGATCCCTTTTGAACTTAACTTGCCATTCTTACCATAGAAAGTTGCATTCAAACTGTTTAAAGAATTAAAGTATAGATCATTATGTAGAACAAATCATACATTAATTTCTTATATCCAATTATGGAGCAAATAAATCATTCATATCAAGTACAGTAGTAGTCCAAGCACAAATGCTGTAGTACAACTTCAGCATTTCTGCTTCCCAAGGTAGCAAGCATTTGAAGCACTTCAGATATGTGTTTGGTTAGCAATAGATATTTTTATGTACCTTCCTCCAGCCAACTAAAATAAAATGAATGCCTGGGTTAGGAAGAGTTTAGCTCTCCTGTCATCCAGCTTAACAAGAACTAGAACTAGGAAGAAAAAACATATTACAGCCCAGAAAAACTGCATCATCCCCCTCCTCTCCATAAGTGTTTGAAATTTGTATCAGAAGTTAAATTTTTGCAAGAAGGATTTCTGATCATGTAAGTGAAGAACTTGGCGGTGAAGGAAAGGCAAGATTGCTGACTATATCGTGTTATGAGAAATATCTGAAACCGATTTATAGTTTTACAACAAAATAAAGGCAGTAGCTGCTATATTACCCACATAAAAGTTTGAAAACAAGGGTCACAACATATGATCGTGTAAGGAAAATTTCAAATAAGGGAGCAAAAAGAAATCAGAGATTAATATTACGTTAGAACTTCCCTAATTCTAGGTTATGGTAATAAGTAGGGCTCAGTAAATCTCAGATGTTGGTGCCAGCAAGTTAAGATGCTACACACTGTTTGAAATTTTTTTTTATGGAAGCATATTTAACTTATTGCCCCATAAACAATCAGGAAGGGATATGTTAATATACTCAGTTGAATAAAACAATATATTAAACAAGGTTTTAAGTTCATTTTTCATACTTTTGCTTTTTAAGTTATGGTAAGAGCTGGGCAAACGATGTTTTTGCTTCCCTGGCTGTTCTGAAACATTGAAAATTTGTTTTCACTTTAACCAAGCACAATTTTTTTTTTGGCAGGTTGAAAATTAATTTAGTATCAAATGTTATATTTTATTCTGAGGTGGTTGCACCTGATTTTAAATAAGCAGAGGGAAACCTGGAAATTGAAGGCTTTCATTCACAAGGTAATTTTACATGTTGTTAACAAAATTATGGTGCTGCACATTTACCTTACAGTACAGTGTCCAGGGCACACTTTCATGATGGAGACCTAGATTCCAATTCCCTTT